GTAGATCTGATATGGTATCATGACATGTCTGCATCAGACAACAAAACCGCTGACATCAACGCTTCTCCCGTGATGTGTTCAGGATCAAAATGTGCACCGAGGTCAACATGGACAACTTCCTCACCGTGCACCACGAGATGGGCCACAACCAATACCAGATGGCTTACCGCCACCTGTCCTACCTCCTGAGGGACGGAGCCAACGAAGGTTTCCACGAGGCCGTCGGAGAAATCATGTCCCTCTCGGCTGCAACGCCCAAACACCTGCTGAGCCTGGACCTCCTGCCTGCTGACTTCATTTATGATGAAGGTAAAATTGAGAGATGTAGAAAATACAGACTGTAATTGAACCAAAGAAACCTCGGTTCTCCAAAACATTAAAGCTGCTATAATCAAAAGTTTTATAAATAGTGAAGTGAACCCACAGAGAATAATCACAGACTCAAATGTGAGGAGCTTTTTCATGCAACTTTCAGCATGTTTCCAGCAGCAGGCAGCTGTTTTCAACCTAAAAACTAAAGGCACTTTGTAGAGCACATACTAGGCCCCAGCAGTCCCCTTAAATTCAGTCAAGGTGCACCCAATTTCTCACACTCATAATAATTTCATCAAGATCAATGAATTATTCTGGGAAAATATCAAAAAACATCCAATCTCACAATTTAAAAAAAAGAAGAAAGGTCAGGACCTGCACCACTAATTTCTCTGCAGGACGCTCATGGAACATCACAGGAAAAAATCTATTCCTGTTTCCTTTTTAGACAGAGCTTAGAAATGACATTTAGAAAGCATACATCTCTTCATCCAGCTCTCATTCTGTGTTGAACTCTTCATCCTTGCAGAAACAGAGATCAACTTCCTGCTCAAACAGGCGCTCACCATCGTGGCCACACTGCCGTTCACCTACATGCTGGAGGAGTGGAGGTGGCAGGTGTTCGCAGGGAACATCTCCAAGGACGAATGGATGCAGCGGTGGTGGGAGATGAAGTAAGCAGAGAGCGATCTGTAAACAATCCTCTTGTTTTTAAATGTGTAAAGTGGACACGGTGCAGACGAGTAAAGTCAAATTTCATGTTGCGTGAACTCGGCATCGGTCTGCTTCAGGGCTGACTCTGTTTTTTAACAGGAGGGAGATGGTGGGGGTGGTGGAGCCGGTGCCGAGAGATGAGACTTACTGTGACCCTCCTGCTCTGTTCCATGTGTCTGGAGACTACTCCTTCATCAGGTAACATAACAATACATATACAATACACCTAACTCCAAAAATATGACACATAACTCTGTGTTTTAGGATAACACTCCATAAATATTAAAGTGTAACCCCTGACTCCAGCCCCCTCTCTGGATTTTTCTGTGTGAGAGAGAAAAATTAATATTTTCTCTAAAGAAATCATAGACATCAAACACTCTATTAACTGTATGTTAGAGGTGAGTCAAAGAAATCTTTAAAAATAATCACATTGATGAAATATTTAATAATAGTTTCTATACAGATTGTGATGTTTGAATGTACGTTCTTTGTTTTTTATCTGTGTGTGTGTGCGTGCGTGTGCGTGTGTGTGTGTGTGTGTGTGTGTGCATGCCACTGGTTGGGAAAACAGGTACTTCACGAGAACCATCTACCAGTTTCAGTTCCAAAAAGCGCTGTGCGATGCCGCTGGTCACACGGGTCCCTTGTCTTCATGTGACATTACCAGTTCTACCGCAGCAGGAACCAAACTGAGGTCAGAACAACTTCCTTCCTTTTATATATATGCTTCAGTAATTTATCATCATCATCATCATCAATGTTTTTCCACCAGGAACATGTTGGAGCTGGGGAGGTCCCAGTCCTGGACCAGAGCCTTGCACACGATATCTGGCGATGTCAAGATGGACGCCAAGCCCCTGCTGGATTATTTTACAAAACTTCACGATTGGCTGAAGGCAGATAACCAGAAACACAACAGGACGGTCGGCTGGGAGCCAGCAATAGATCCATGTGAGGGCAAACGATTAATACCACAATATAGTATTAGTTCTCCATCCATGAAGTAACATCATATTTGTTTAATACAAAACATTTCATTTCTATACTGTTGGACGTGTTAGAGTTGATGGTTAGATGGTAGAAACTGGCTCTGAAGTTAAAGGAAGACTTAACTCACTGAGATTTTCATGTTGAATATTTATATCATGTGACTAAATGACTTGATTTATTTACAGTTATGAAATATGCCATCAAAGTACGAGTAAGTTTGAAGGCTGCCATGGGAGAGGACGCTGTGAGTATAATTAATCATTATCAATGTTGTTTGACGTGTTATTACTGTAGGGTTACATGATTATTACACATGAAATGAAAGTAATTGAAATGGATCTGCAGAGTGTTTGGTATCATGGCAGATGTTCATGTACCATACTGTGTTTCAGTATTCCTGGAACAACAACGAGCTGTACCTGTTCAAGGCCAACATTGCGTACGCTTTGAGGCAGTACTACCAACAAAAGAACCAGACACTTGACTTCACGTCAGTATTAACGACATCAGCCTGGGACTAAAACTTGTTTTTCTTTCATTCAATCTGTTTGAGGGCTTTTCTCTGTTTACACCTGCAGGTCAGAGAACGTCCTCACCCACAAAGTGACTCAGAGGATCTCCTTCTTCATTGTGGTCACCAACCCGGTGAATACCTCTGAGTACATCCCAAAGAGTGATTTGGAGGCTGCCATCCGGTGAGGCACCAGGAAATACGGAAATAAGGAAAAACCACATTTAAATTCACTCGATCCAAATTTTTATTTGGATCGGCACCAAACGGCACTCAAATTGATGCTTCAACATTAGAAACCTGTTCAAAAATCGTTAAATAAAGAACCAATAAGTCTT